TATATATATATATATATAAACATAAATTCCCTAAATCCCTTTAATAATATGCTGTCAGGTTTTTTCTACAACACATTAAATCAACATAGGTTTACAATAATAAACATTACAACGAATGGTCAGTCATCAGTACGGTAAAAAATATAATAAATAAGAAATAAGAATAGATCAGAAATTACAACAAATGTCATCTTTTTTATACAGTTTTAGCCTCGGTGACTCTGGTTTTCAACTTTCAACAAAATAAAATACCAAAAATAAAAAATATTTCTGCAGAATTTCTTATAGCACCAGTCCATAAAACCAGCTTAAATAAAGTTTGTAAAAAGGAACTGTTCACTTTATACAACACTGCACAAGGACGGGGACCACGTGACCTGCTGTCATATCGACAGTGATCTCTAGAAACGTCTTTTCTTTGGGTTTTACGTGGATTATTAAAGGACTTGCAGGAGGAAAATGGGTTTTAAATCATAAAGAAGTGAAATAAGGCGAAGTGTGAAGTTTTGTCTCCGACCTTTTCTATTTTACCCCCGGATCTTGATTCGCTTTAGGCATAAATCACGTCGGTATTTGTCTATATTTGCTATTTACATCTCAGGTTTTTGTAAGATTGTTGTTTTTCATTGTTTAATATTGAATATTATAATATTTTTTAATTAACTGGAGACACTTGAACTTTTCGAACTAAAAAATGGCAATAAAAAATGTAATTGTATGTATTTATTTATTTATTTTTTAATTAGCAGGTTTGGAGACAGCCGTCGTCAGCACCGACAACACACACACACACACGTGGAGTGTGTGTGGAGATGTAAGTTTTATTAATTTAACGCTACGTACAACAGTAATTACTTCCTAATGATGATTTAATCCAACAATGTTGTCTTGATTTTATTTCTCATCTGTGAAAGTTTTTATTCCACAGATTGGATTTAAATTGTTTAGGGTTTTTTTTATCTTTATTTAAGCAAACATGTCAAAGTTACAGTAAAAAACACAGTGAAGTTCCGTCAACGTCACGTCTGATCAGTTTGTATTCGTTTTTCACAATCACTTCAATCATGCGTGGATTTTTGTATTATTTTATTAATAGTTCATTTTAATTGTTTGGGGTTTTGTATTTTAGCATTTTGACTGATGACAGCAGTGACTCTCGCGGACTCTGAGCGGAGGTGACAGCTCTGTCACTCTCCTGTGACTGCCCAGGGTTTACTGTAGCGCCCCCGTCTGGTGCTCGGCCAATCACTCAGTCGGATGCGTTGGAGATTCGCGCTACAGAATTTGCAGACTTTACAAAAGAAAAAAAAGGAAATGAGGGAAAAGTGAGGGAGTTGTGTGATTGAGTTTGTCATGAAATCATGTCCGTAAAAAATAGGTTTGTTTTGAGGCAGGCAGAGAGACAGACAGATAAAGGTTTGTGTGTGTGTGTGTGTGTGTGAGTGAGAGAGAGAGAGAGAGAGAGCGAAAGTTGTGCAAACAATGTGATAGAACAGCGTGTGTGTGTGAGGGGGACATAGAGAGAAAGAGGGGGAGAGAGAGAGAGAAAGTTGTGCAAATATGCAGTGTGCGCGCATGGACGTATATGCGCGTGCGCGCATGAAGAAGAACGAGAGAAAAATAAAGTGAGAGTGTTGTGTGTGTGTATGCACATGTGTGAGAGGAAGGGTTTTTTTTATTTGTGTTTTTTTTACAAGTGAGAAGTGATGTGTTTAATTTAGCTGAGTGAGCCGTAGAGGAGTAGAAGGAAGTGGGGGAGATGGAGGAGAAAGAGGAGAAGGAGGAGGTGGAGGATTGCCACAGTAGTCGCAGCAGAAGGAGGAGGAAAGAGAAAGAGAAAAGGAGGAGGAGGAGGAAGAAGAGGAGAGGGCCGCTGGTCGCCGGGTTTCCATGTGACAAGGGGAAATATGAGGGACTTTGACAGGTCTTAAACGGTCTGGCGCCAAGGCCTCAGTCTAGCCGCTAAATATAGCCGGAGAGATGATGCAGGGAGATGGGAGGAGAAGATGGAGCGATGAAAGGAAGAAAGGAACAATGTGGAAGGGGAGGAAGAACATAACAATACTCAATTATAGAGGAATATGGTGGAGTGTGTCCCGTTCTGTTGTAATTAGAGCGTCTTCGGCTCGGGTCACTGACACCGGGAGAGGAGACGCTTTTAACGCACTTTTATTCTGACATCTGCACCTGTGTCGTGTGGATCGTTAATAAGGGGGCGCGTCAAGGGCGCGGGAAAAGAAACATTTTTTGGCTAATTTAGTTGATTTGGCTAAAGTACATTTTCATTTCATATCAACAACAGAACACCTGGAGTGTCCTGGTTAAAAGGACAGCGCATTTATTTGCATGTTCTGAAGTCTTTTATAGAGAGCAGAATTTCACATGTTAGGGCTCTGTAGACAGACATTGCGCCCTGTATTTACCCCTCTCCTTGTAGTTCCCCCCTTTTCTCCCCCTGGTACAAACAGCTATACATACAAGTACAAAGTGTGTGTTTTCGCCCCCACACAAAGCACGAGCCCGTTTGAACCTGTCAGTTCACTGCCATGTCCAGACAGCTCTACACCAGCGGCTCACATTGGCCTTCCTTCCACATAATGACTTTTAAATCGCGCGTAATTGGGATTTCTGCAGCGCTGTAGGCACAGAACAAATAAATGGTGAGCAATTTGCACCAGCATTATTGATGCAATTATCCAGTTCAACAGAAAACCGTTATCCACCTCCACATGCTGGCTAATCCCCCCCTTTTTTGTCCCATGCAAAGCTCCACAAATGCCCGACAAACCGCCGCTGCTGCCGCGCTCCAACGTCCCCGTCATTTGGATTTGTATCTTAAAATGTGTTTCTGATGATACAGATTCTCACTGGCTTTTTTTTTTTTTTTTTTTTTTGTATTACACCTGAATGAAAACACACCTTTTTTGTCCCACTGAACCGTGGCTGTGCACCGGCTACTGTTGATGCGTGAAGAGGTCTCTGCTCCAGGGACTATTCAGTGTCTGATCTCATGTGTTTCCTCTCTGGGCCTGTGGGAACTGTTGTGGCTTCAGTGCAGAAGTGCACTGGATGACTGACGTGCTGTCTGCACGGCTGTCCGACTGACTGACTGTCTTTCTGTCTGACTGTTTGCGCCCTGCTGCCTGTTTCTTTTTACGCATGGATGTATCAATGTGATGGAAGTGGAGCAACAAGTGTGAGACAAAGTAGGACAAATGTTCTTGAAAAATGTCTGGTTTTGAATCATACGACACGATGACCAATAGTGGACACAGCTGTTTCATGTTCTCTCGTATTTTTTATTGATTACTATTATGTATTTTAACATGTATTTGCACAGTTTATGAGTGTGTACTTTGTTGTGAATGGTTTGCAATGTACACTTTGACTGTATCGGAGATATATTTAATTGGTGTTCATTAATATTATTATTTGTGGTTAAGGATTTCTGTTATAAAAGTGTATTTATGGTCATTTCTTTTAATTATTTGTCTGTAACGTTTCACCCCAGAAGCCCCGCAGACACAAGGGGTTAATAGGAAATGCGCACATTGGTTTTTCATTCATCTGCACCTTTTGTTTCAGTTTTGCTCCAAGTGACGCCTGTGACCGATAGCAGCGCTACATCCTGTCTGAGACGCAGCTCACAGATGACACCGAGCCGCGGCGGAGGCGCCGAGGGAGCGGAGAAGGTCCGGAGAGGAGGCGGCTGCAGCAAGGAGCTCACACGCATGCAGGACTTCGGGGTAAATATAAGGAGACAAGACGAGAGAGTGTCCGCTCTGCGGCGCATCAGACCGCTGACAACGATCGGCTCTTTTTACAAACACAGTCCAAGTTAATCAAGAGTTATTTCACCGCGCAGGGATTCACGCAGCCGTGCTGCAGAAGAAAGGCGGCCCCACGAACCCCTGCTGCTCCCGGAGACCTAGACTGTCTCAGGTTTGACAGAAAACAACCTGTCGGAGATTAGGCTCCACCACCAGGGCCTGTCCTCAGCTCTGACTGAGCACTAAATCATGTCATCACTGCATACTCAGAGGTGGAAACACAAACTCTACCAAGAGTTTAAAAAAAAGAAAAAAAAGAAAATACACCGCACTCCTGCAGCACAGCAGCGGCGAAATATATGACTAAAAAAAAGAAAATGTAGATATTTTTAAACACTTGACAATAATTCAACAACTCCCCTAAGACTTAGTCTGCAGCCAAACTAGGAAGAGTGTTTAGCAAAGTGAGAAACTCACCGATTTTTCTTCTCCACGCTTTTCTCTCAAAATTCATTCATCATCATTCACGGTTTCCTCTGTTTTGCCTGTACGCGCGCAGTCTCTGAGTTCTATGTCTTATTTCCCTAGTCTTTGGCCTCGGTGCTGCGGCTGCTGCTGCTGCTGCCGCTGCTGCCTTCACGGGTCAGACACTTTTGCAGAAACTCGGAGAGACGCGCGGCTCCCGCATTGGGGGGGAATCCGGCGGGGTTGCGTGAGTCTGAATGGGCTGCACTCACAGCTACATGGTCGGAGCCAAATCCGGCCGTAGCCTGAGAGCAGCCGAGGAGTTGGAATCATTACAAATCTGCAGCTTTAAGCCGTGAGAGAGCGGAGCAGCAGCAGCAGCAGTACTGCTGCCACTGTTAGGGTCTGTTCTGAGAGCCAGCGCTGAAGCTTCAGAGCCTGAGCTGTTCCTCTCTGTAAAGGTAAGTATTTAAGACAGTAGACAGGTTGCTTTCTTTGGAGGCGACATAAAAAAAAGCAAGCCGAGAGAGGTGATGCCTCCGCTGGCCAAGAACTGAAGGCTGAACCGGTGTTTGGCTTGGAAATGGGGGTGGGATTTTTCCGATCTTTCCTGTCATTGGTTAATATTTTATCCTGTTGACATGTTTTCTTACTGCTAATGCTTCCGACACCTTCTTGCCTTCCCCCCTCCCCTCCGTTCTCCCTCCTCTCCCAGAGTCTGGCCGGAGCTGTCAGAACCACGCCTATAGGGGCCCACAATTGGTCCAGAAAGCGTAAAATCAGCAATCAAAGGGGCTTGGTTCATTAGTGCTGGGGATGGAGGCAGGAAGGACATGTGAGATAGTCACAGATCTGCAGTGAACGGAGCCACATCTCTCCAGTCAGTGTGGGATGAGTGAAGCAGACAAACAGTTGACTCCACTGTGAGGCAGTGCCCGACGCTCTCCCGGCTCTCCCCCGCACACACACACCGCCGCTGCTGCTCGACAACTCGGCGGAGGAACCAGAGGAAAGGCGCTCCGACAACCACACAGACCAGCGCTGGGCTATTTTTTTTCTTTCTCCCCCGTGTATCCTGCAGACCAGCGCTGGGCTATTTTTTTTCTCCCCCGTGTATCCTACTTCTTCTTCTGTTTCTTCATCTTCTTCACCGTGATCACGTTGTGACCAGGAGCTCCACTCTCCTGTGCAGATTTACGCAAATCAACAGCTCGCGAAACGCGGACCTACACTGGATCCAGACTCGAGGAAAAACCACTAAAGAAACAAAACATATCCATTGTTTTACCTGTTTTTTGTGGATGCACCGATGAGAGATCCAGTTTTCCAAGGGACTGCAATGGCTTATCATCCATTCCACGGACACCGGCCGACCGACTTCCCCATGTCCGCTTTCCTAGCGGCAGCGCAGCCTTCCTTGTACCCGGCGCTGAGCCTGCCTCCCGGGGCTCTCACCAAGCCCATCCCGGACCACGGCCTGGCCGGGGCTACAGAGGCTGGACTCTACCCGGCCCTCAGCCACCACCAGGCGTCTTTTCTCCGTGGCATAAAGGGCCAGGGCCCCGAGGAGGAGCTGGACGAAGACCCTAAAGTTACACTGGAAGGAAAGGAACTGTGGGACCAGTTTCATAAACTGGGAACCGAGATGGTTATTACCAAGTCGGGAAGGTAGGAGACTCTCCCAGCTTTCATTTCACTCTCACATTAAAAAAAAAAAATCATTTCATCGTCACCTTTTTGACAGGCCATTGTAATCACGTTATTTTTTTAAGAATATTACATACAACTGCACATTTTTCCGCCACAGTTTTACCTACAACTACCAACATTAATTCCCACCTTTGGAAAATGAATTAACTTTATTTTATGGGGCGAGTATAAGTGAATTAAAAAAAATCCAGTTTGCTTTTTTTTAATATGTGTCAGACAATCTCCAGACTGATCAAAGGAAATATTTGGAATATTTTTCGGGTGGTAAAATTGAAGAATGAGCTCTAATCGGATTTTTATCTCCCGGGGGCTGAGTTCAGTGGAGACAACAGGCTTCTGGGTTTTATAAACAGGCTGTCACTTCAAAAAAGAAAAGCAAAGTGAAGTGGTGTGGTCATAAATATACGACTCGGCTTTGTTGTGCATGGTCACTAGACACACTCACACACACACTGCGCCTTTTCTCGGTTATTCACTAACTGTGCGCAGCAGTGGAGAATAATGTCTGACAATTACAATATTTCCACTTGTCACGGCCGTGTGTGTTGTTTTCCCTGCGCATTCAATGCCGTTCATGTCTAACCCAGACCATAATATGCTGTTGTGTTATGGTTGAATCGCGACGTATTGACCTTATCTCTCTCTCTCTCTCTCTCTTTCTCTCCTTTTCCTTCTTTCCTTTCTCCCCATCCTCCTTCCCAGGAGGATGTTTCCCCCGTTCAAAGTGAGAATAAGCGGCCTGGACAAAAAAGTCCAGTACGTCCTGCTCGTGGACATCGTGTCTGCGGACGACTGTCGCTACAAGTTCCACAATTCACGCTGGATGGTGGCCGGCAAGGCCGACCCGGAGATGCCCGGGAGGATGTACATTCACCCGGACAGCCCGCTCACCGGCGAGCAGTGGATGGCCAAGCCTGTAAACTGTCACAAACTGAAGCTGACCAACAACATCTCAGACAAACACGGGTTTGTAAGTACCAAATTTGACCTTTATTAAAACAAATGTTGTAATGTAATAGTGCTAATGGATATTTTATCTGTTTTGATTTGTTCCGCTGCCTGTAGCCCCTTCAAAGATGAAATAATAATTTGATGCTGCGTAATTTGTAAACATAATGTGATTTATTAGTCTTAACGTGGACAAATAAATAAAAACACGCATCTTTTGCACGAAAGAAATAGAATAATAATAATAACAAATATTTAAAAAACGTTACCTCGAGAACCACAGCATTTATTTAATAATATAATAAGAATAAATAATCTCTCTTGTTCACCTGAACATCCAAAACAGTGTCTGTGTGTGTGTGTGTGTGTGTGTGTGTGTGTTGACCCTTTGTTACCACTTGACTTCACACCGATGCTGACTACATACACAACGCGTATGTTTCCCTTGTTGCTGTCCAAAAATAAAAAAAAATATCCTCCAGCAGCCAGGAATTCGAGAGTGCATTTGACAATAAATATATAAATCAACGGGTGAATAATTGATCATGTAAATAAATAAATTAAGCTCTTTTTTTTTTTTTGCAAGAATGATGGCTGTGTGTCAAAATATCACCAGAGTCTTGAGGTTAAATGGGGCATGAATGTGGGAGCTGATGTTTCCAAAACAAAATTTGCCAAAAAGAAAATGTGTATAGTATAGTTTGGCTAAATTTTAAATTATTTTAATTTATTTTATTCACTTTATTGTATTATTTATTTTCACATACAGTGTTTAAAATATTTATATATGAAATATCGTTTGTGCTACTTTATGATGGAAAACGAATAACGAGCAAAAATACTTAGTTTTTACATTAAAATAAAAAAATTAAAATGATCTGAGAACCTGAAGAAGTCAATTATAGCCCATGAAATTAATGAATCGGTTCAAATGTGGAGTTAATTTTATCTGCATGTTTATGTCGTGTTTTTTTTCTAATATTGTCTTAATGTAATATCTGGAAAAAGCCCAAATCTGGATTAAAGTGTGAATGTGTTAGCAGTTTTAACATGGAGACAATAGAACGTTTGAAGGGTTTAAACATGTTAGAGAGAGAGTTCAAAATGCTTTTGAAGAACTTTGATACAAACGGGATCCAGTCTTTTATTTTTAATTCAAATATATAGCTGTGGTTCTGCCGAGGTTTCACGACAACATGTGTGGCCTGGCCCGGTTCTTCACTTTGTCCCGCACTAATTACAGACACGTCTGCTTACACAGCAATTACAACAATGATGTGCGTCAACATTCCCTGTCTGGTGTCGAGTTTGGACACGAACAGGTCCTGATCCGCTCATCCACAGCCGTGTGTTTATGTCGTTTTTGTTTTTGTGTGTGTGTTGGTCCAGATCATCCTTAACTCCATGCACAAGTACCAGCCGAGGTTCCACATCGCCCTGGCCAACGACATGATGAGGACGCCCTGTCCTACATTCAGGACCTACGTGTTCCCAGAGACTGAGTTCGTGGCTGTGACGGCCTACCAGAACGACAAGGTGAGTCCACGGTGCCTCTATCCCCGTCCCACGGTGCCTCCATCCCCGTCCCACGGCCTCTCTGTGGCCTCACCGCGCAGACACCACCCTCAAGGATTAATCCGGTTTTGTAGGTCGCCTAATTTCCCTGCGTGATATATATATATAATTTTTTATTTTTTTGCATGTTTTTGAGGAAGTGCGCGTTTTTGTCACAGTGGAACTCAAATGTGCAGCTCCACCATCTTGTCAGCTGGTATGGTCGACAAATGAGATGATAGTTCGTGTGTGAATGAGTTGTGTTAATACCCGACCAGTGTCCTTCAGTATCAACTTTTATTGTATGTTTAACGATGCTTTCTGAAGTAAAATAACGCCCCCAACGGGATCGAACACGTCATTTCACTTAAAGATCTACGGTATTTGTTGTGTGTTTATTTGATGGTATTATAGTTTAAGCCCCTCCACTCGCTCCTGATCCTCTTCCATGGACTTAATTGGAGCCTGTGTCCAGGAGGGTCGAGTAAAGTGGTTGGTAGTAGTAGAGAGAGGAGGAGGAGGAGGAGGTGGACTGTTGTAAAACTTTATGGCAAAGAGTCACAATCGATTACAGAGCATTTAAAAGGCTGCTCACCCTGCAGCCGCTGCAGGCAGATGTGGCGAACGCCTGGAGCCTGGAGCTTCTCCAAGGGCCACTCAGGGTCTCCTGGAGGCCCCCGCCGGTTCACTTATATACACTTGGTGCCGCGGAGTCGGCCTCCTCACTCCTCCTCACAGGGCAGAAGCACTGATCCAAACCGCAGTATTAATTATTGATAAGGCAGTCATCTGCTCCACTCTGCTGCTCCTTCTGTTTTGTGTATTTTGTTCTGGGGGAGAACAGAGGCCCATGTGGCCCCGTGGAGAAATATTCCGTGGCAGAAAAGTTGCCTCCAGGGGCCAATGAGAATAACGCCCCGTCGTTGCGCGTTTTATTAATAATGCACGCGCGCACGCACACGTACACACACGCACAAATAAATCGCAGAGCGCACATCAAGACTCCAGTTCCAGCACGTCTCTGTTTGTTTGTTTGAGTTTTTTTTTCTTAAGCTCCACATTTTTCTGCAGCCTCTTACGTGAAGTGTGTTCTTGTTTTTACAGATAACCCAGCTGAAGATCGACAACAACCCGTTTGCAAAAGGTTTCAGAGACACAGGCAACGGCAGGAGAGAGAAAAGGTGTGTATCAGATTATCATTATTATTATTATTATTATTATTATTAATAATAATGCTCCTGTTGTTGTTGCAGAAAGCAGCTACAACTGCCCTCTCTGCGGATGTACGAGGACCAGTGTAAGGGGGACCGGGGCGGTGACGACTCTGACGCCTCCTCCAGTGAGTCTCCGGTCGGCAGAGACTCTGTTCACTCCCCGCTGGGCCCCGGTACCAGTGCACTGAGGTTCAACAGAGCGAGCCGAGGTGAGTTTTACAGCTGTTTATCCTGTGTGTTTTAAACAAGGTGTTGGCTAAACGACAAGATTTTTGGGGGAACATAAACGACTAAAAAGTCCATTAATTAATATTGTTTTGGTTTCTTAAAACCAATGTGAAATACAATGTGAAGCATCTTTTTTAATTGAAAATGGTCATGTATTTACAATGGTGTGTTAATATATTCTCTTAGTCCAAACGTTTTTTGTAGAACTTATATTTTGTTACTACAAAATAAATTGATTTAAATTTTAAAATATATATTTAAATACAAATATCAGTAAGTAGGAAATACTACCCCTACTGCTATATATATATATATATACTGTATATACTCAATGTTATACAATATTTATTATATTTGTAATTGGTTGTTTAAGTTTTATTTTCCAATTATTTATATATTGAAAAGGTGTTGTTATGTTGGAATTAAATACATTTAATTAGCTATTTAACCATTTCATATTCCTCATGTAAAGTATAATAACAATTATTCGAAATATTATTCTACCATTTTGTATGTATGTGTGTGTGGGTGTGGGTGTTGTTCCTGAGTGGGATCATAACCTGTTTGGCAAAACATTATTTTCAAGGCTTGGAATAAAGTTAAAATTACGATTTAATTGTATTTAAATACTTTTGGATTCTAAATTCCCCGTTACTCGTATTAATGCAAACACTATTATTAGAATTTCACTTCATATTTGTGACTGGTGTTATGGATATGACCTGGGTAGTCATTTCAGTATGAATTCTTTATTACTTGTTTTTATAATAATTGCTGGCATTGTTACTGTTTTTTTAAGACTTGTGTTCCTGATGGAAAACGAAACCTGGTCCATAAAGCAAAACCTCTGTTGGTTGAAGGTGGATTTTGGCATTGAGCAGTTGTACTCAGGGTTAGGGATAAGGTTCTGGTTAGACTGTGCTAATGAATAAAAGGCAATGAACATGTGGTGGAAGCACAAAGCAGTTAATCATGTCCCTTGCACTTTCGCCCCGTTCTCCCTCTGTGTTTCAGATGAGAAAGATTGCTCTGACAGTGAACAGGAGATGGAACAACCTAATGAGCGCTGCACTGCCTCCAACAGCCCAGAACCCGAGCCCATGTCCCCTTACAGCTCCAGGTGCGAGGACCGTGTGCGTGACAGGCATAGTGCAGAAAAGAAGGACGACTCCGTTTTCAGTATAAGGAACCTTGAAAAAGACAAAGCGGACAACAGGCACAGAAAGGACACCACGGACACGGTGACAAAGGACTCAGAGGCCGCAGCCACCGGCACCAATAAGGACGAGTACTCGCCTCTCATGCTCAAGACTGAGAGCCACTCACACTTCAGCCCGAGCCGCTTACAGGGCCTGGCACTGTCTGGCCTGCACAGTCAGCAATTCTTTAACCCTCTCAACACCGGATCACCACTGTTGTTTCACCCTGGGCAGTTTGCCATGGCCCCCGGAGCCTTCTCTGCTATGGGAACGGGCCATCTTTTGGCATCTGTATCAGGAACAAGTGGTTTGGAGAATGGCAGCCTCTCTGCCCAGAGCACAGGAGGAACACCAAACCCATTCCCATTCCATCTGTCCCAGCACATGCTCGCCTCTCAGGTAAGAAAGGTCAAACAGTGAGAAAGGATTAGGGTTGGCCTCTAGTGTACACCTGCAGCACTGAGCTCACGTCAGTCTGACAGGCAGTCTGTGTCTGGGAGTGGGAAGTGTTTATATCAGCTTCACCTTGCACCGCACCAGAGACACACCAGAGCATGACTCATAGTTGGCTTTAATTTATTGCTGATAGTAATATACTCTAGGAATGGAAGCAGTATTTCTTGTCTTTGTTGACTGTGTATAAAAAAACATAAGTGATTGATTAAAAGTTCAGAAGTTAAACTTGAAACATAAACTAATCAGATTTTCATTCTCATAACACTAGGTCTTACACATCTCTTTGAATACTGTGTGCTGAGAATGTAGTAATTGTAACCACTTGAAATATTTGATCTCTTAACTTGGAGTAGTGTGATGATGCCAAGATTTCTTTTTCTCATATTTCAGGGCATCCCAATGCCTCCGTTCGGTGGCCTTTTCCCGTACCCCTACACCTACATGGCTGCAGCCGCAGCAGCAGCCTCTGCCTCAGCCATCCCCACCACCAGCTCCTCCAATCCACTCTACAGGAACCTGTTCCTGGGCTCAACCCGACCAAGGCTGCGCTTTAACCCTTACCAGCTCCCTGTGTCACTGCCACAGTCCAGTCTGCTCGCTATGGGCCTTTCTGGCAACCTGAACCCAGGCTCTGAATCATCCAAACCTGTTAGCAGGGAGTCCAGCCCAACCCCAGAGCATGACAGCAAACACAAATCAAGAGGAGGTTCAGGTGAGAGATCGTCCCCTAAAACCTCCATGAAGGACTCAGTAAATGAGCTGCAAAGCATCCAGAAACTGGTAAGTGACCTGGAGGACCAGCGGTTGACCTCCCCGACTGCAGACTCTCTTTAGTGATGCAGAGACTGTGACTTTTGGACAATGCCTTGGCTTGAAAACCAGAGGACTATCAGTGCATCTGTACAGCACATTACAGAGGGTGGGACAAAAGGTTTGGACCTCGTGGGGGTCTGCGAAGGCTGATGACTGAATCGTTTTTGGAACAAAGGTGCAGATAGAATTTTGATGTAATTTTCTCCATGCAGTTCAGTTGAACTATTTTATACCCACACGTACTGAAGGTTGATCTGTTGGAGAGGAAAGCCTGTCGGAAGGTCAAGTCTGACTATGTGACTATGTGACTATGAGACCAGACAAACTCTCTGCTGAAGCCCAGTGGCGTGGAGTCCAGTCCAGGGGTGACCAGGAAACCTGGGAACTCAGGAAATATTGAAGGAATAAACGAATAATAAGGAATGACTTAATGCTAAAGAGAAACTAATATTAAAACAAATCTCTTTGTTCAAAACGAAACACTGATCATTTTCACTACAAATGAGAACTGAATTAAACATGTTTGTTATATGAAAGGTGAACCGTGCAGGGCCAGTAAGGGCCAACATATCGACTTTACCTGTCTGAGTGTGTGTGTGTATGTATGCGTGCGTGTGTGTGCGGAGTTTGCTTAACTTGAAGCATCAGGGGCAAGATTCAACCCATCCAGCTCAAACTAAGCAGCTGTCTCATCCAACAGATCTCAAGCTGAATCTAAAATACCATTTTTATTTTTTACCTTTATTTTAATTTTCAAATTTTTCCAAGCCTATATATTTCAAAAAGGATGGAAAGTGAACGTTCCGCCTGAAACGACCGCTTATCATTTCATGCCAGAAAGAAAAACAATGTTTCTGAAATATTTATGTAATTAAGAAAAAAAAAGAAAAAATGTAAATAAAGCTAAGATCCAAGAATATGCAATTGGTATTAATTTATTCAAGGCTGTATATTAGCGTGTATATATTTCTAAATTTAAATCATTGCTTTTTTTTCTCCTCCTATCGTTTTACATGAATATATACTGTAAATTAAAGCTATTAGCGCTTGTTGGTTTGAGAAACTGTATGAAGCATCTTTTTTTTTAAATGTTTTGAGACGTGTGTGCCATTTTTCAACCCGCATCTAACGACAGACACGGAAAAATGATTTTAAAAACAATTATAGAAAGAAAAAAAAAGGAAAGAAAAGCAAAAAGCACCTCAGGTTTCACTCACTCCAGCCTGGAGACATCGACACTTGTTCCTCATTTGGACGCATTATTCATATCTATTCATAAAATATATTTAAAGTTGTTTAATTATGCTGGTAGTCCGGGTTTTTTTTTTGTTTTTGGTTTTTTTTTTTGATTGTTTCACAGTTTCAATAAAAATCGTTGTGCTTAAAGTTTAAAGACGTGTATTATTATTATAATTGAAATGGTCTGTACTGACGACACGTGTGTCTTTGCTGCCCTCTGTCGGCTAAATTCTTAACTAGACTAGGGCCTTTGTTTTTCTACTCTTGTTTTTGGAAAAGAAACGTATAGTATAGAAGCCCGTTTCCGCCACTTGACTTGGGTAAAAAAATAGATTCTTTCGTCAAACGATCAGATGCTATCTCATTATTATGAGATAATAACTCGTTTTGATTTAAGAATCTTTTTTTTTACTTAAGTGGCGGAAATGGTCCTCTTTTCTTTTCCAAAAGCAAAAGTAGAAAAACCGAAAAGTTTAAATTCGAGTCGAAACCTTTAGCATTTAATTCCCGATATCCTGTACTGGATGTTAAGTTTGTAATCTACGAAACAAGCCTGATACATTGTGTGTGTGTGTGTGTGTGTGTGTGTGTTTGTGTGTGTTTGTGTAGCTCTATTTCTGGCAGGTCCTCACTCAGTTAGCGTCACTCACAGTTTCCTTTAGTATTGTGTGGCCTGCGGTATATTTAGAAGTGATGTAAGTATTTATAGGAAGAGCTTTCTCTCCACACACACACACACACACACACACACACACACCCTCCGACAGCCGGACAGAGCCTTTGTGCAAACGGTTGCCTTTTTTAACCTCAGCTGCCACCATATCAATCCAAGTGTTTATCAATGGCCACATCAATGATATATTATTTTTCTCAGCCGCAAAAAATAACTGTTGCCTAAGCCATAAGAACTTGGCAGCGTCACAGAGTGTTAAAAAAGCAGTGCGATCGAGCCATTTAAATAATAACTCCCTTTTTCAAATCATAATTTTAAAAAGTAACTGCTTTTTTTTTTTGGAAGGTCGTTCCATTTTTATCTAAATGTCACGAGGCTAAATGTGGTTCACAGTTTGTGTGTGTAGGTGCGTGATGCAGAAGTATTGTTTATCAGTGTGTGTGTCCCGGCGCCTGTCGCCTGCCTGCCGGCCACAACCTCCACACTGCCCCGCTTCCTAATTAGAGCCCCCTCCATCTCTATCTCCACCTCCTCACCCAGCCACCCTCCCTCCCTCCCCTCTTCTTTATTTCCCTTTTCTTTCTGTGGCGATAATCACAAAACTCTCAGTCTATTACAGGGGCCATTGTTGCCTCTCTGTTATCTTCAATTAACAGCGAGAGCGACTCGACCTCGCACTCGGGGCGGAGAAGAAGTGATTTGTCCAAATCAATCAGTGTGTGAGTGATCAATAGGCTCCCGTGGAGGCCCCGTGGATCAGCACTAATGGCTGCTGACGGTGTGGGGGTAAAAAGGCCAAGATTATTTACAACTTTGTTAATGATCAGTGCTGGGCCAACACTGTTGTTGTTGTTGTTGTTGCTGCGGTTGTTGTTTAGGTTTGTCACACAGCAGTGACACGGTTTATGAGACCAGCTGCAGCTTCTCGTGACTTTTTATAAAATTTACACAAACCAAGAATTATGACGTGGACTGGTTACAAACACATGCGGCGGAATTAAAATTTAAACACGAAGGTTGTTGTTCGCATTTATTCCCAATTATTCCCAATTAAACAGAAACATTTACAAAGATAAACACACATATATATTATTAATATATGTGTGTATATATGTAAATATTTCTTATATATATAGTGTGGTGTGGAATGTTGAATAATTTGACTACTGCTTTTATCAGTGAGAACACTGCTTAAAGTATATATGGCAACGAACACCTTTTTATTTGCACCACTTGCATATATGTCAAATATTATTACATTCTAGAGCAAATATTCACTCTTTTTTCTAACAATAATAAAATAATGCAGTGAAAAAAGAAATATAACTCAAATAGAGTTATTAATAAATAGGAATTGTACATTAAACTGAATCAATAAACGTACATGATAATTTTTGCAATCTTCGTGAGACTACAATTTCAAGTTTCTATTCTAGAAATATTTTTCAAAAGTTGTTTTTTTATTATTATAATTATCATTTTTGTTATAGGTACCAATCACTACTTTAGAATAACGTCAACGATTCCAGTTGGGCGGTTGCCATTTGTGAGTGAATGCACGGCCTGGGGAGCCACCCGGGAACCTGTATGTTGTCTGCACACAGAGTTCCGCTGCTACTGACTGGCAGCAGAGGCAGCCTATTGGCTTTTTAGCTCAGGGGCAGCCGCCACACTGGTCTACAATAGGAGCAGGAGCTGCCCAATCACAGGCCTTACTTTTTCGACACAAAACAAGCTTTCAAATACGGCACAAATGTCGACGCTGTCGATCTGAGGAAAAACACCGTGAGTCGAAAATCAGACTCTAGAGGCAGCGATGCACTTTAACGTCCCGTAAACACTGGTAAAGTGTTTAACAGAGCGGTTAAATCACAGTCTCATCAGGACAGTGTTTTCCTGTTTGTGTTGATACTTTTACGTCCGTCATTTTGTCACACGGCTCTCAGCGTATTTACGACAGAATCAAGAAACAAATCACGTCTCACCTCAATGGACGTTAAGTATTTTACATTACATATACGTACATTGTAATTAAATTATAATTGTATAAAATACAATTTCCTTTTTTTAACTGTTGCAGTGTGGCAAACCAGTGCAAACATGGCGGGGTAAAACCAAGGGCAATGCAACAAGTCAGACAGAGAAATGTGGTCAGTGTGGACATCTGCATCATGCAGGCCCATCGCCCCCTCCTGGTCAATGAGTGAAGAGGGAAAAAAAGGTACGTGAGTTTTACAGGAGCATGGAGAAGTCAAAAAGTTTTGAGACGCTTGTTATTATTTCCTATATATACCTGTGTGTGTGTGTGTTCATAGTCAGAGTAACAGTCAAATCCTGGGGAATGATTCTATATGTCAGAGTAAATGGATGGTTACCGCTGTGTCCAATCATATTCTCAGGAAATGTGGTCTGATGACGGGTCGGTGTTCTGTGTCACATTCACATGTTCTCACTGTGGAGGTCAAATTTCTTCATTCACAACATTTTATCGTGGTCTGTGCTGTGCTGATCTGCAGTTTTATGTTTCCTGCTCTCTGCAACAGCAGATGGTCGCGCCTCCCCTGGTGGGAGTTTTTAACAGAAATAACCACTAGGTGGCATGGTTATCCATTTATCAGCCGTCCTCTATTGCATTTGGGTTTGTTTTTTTTTATTACAAATTCATCAAATACCTAGTTGGAGAGCAAACGGCAGCAAAAACATTATTTGCGTTTGAAAGATGAAAGTTAGAAACAAAATAAAAGGATGCTCATGACTATTTTGAAATGCTTAAATATATTCTGTAATATATGTGGCAGAAAGATGTACTACTTTTAAATTAAGAAAATGACACAAATAGAAATAAACAGACAATCTAAATAGTTGCAGCACACAGGGTCAGGAGTTCTTTTACCACCCTGAAGGTTGCAGGTTGAAGTCCAGCCACAGTCAAACAAACATGTCATTAAACAGGACCAAATTGCAAATGCAGTGAATACCAGGAAAAAAAATCAGATTTTTCTCCACACATCAGTCAAACTGTTTGTGTCCGTCTCAGATGATGGCAGCCGATGTTCACCAGTTGACCTCTACTTTCACCCCGGTGCTGTGCCAAGTAGTTTAGCCCTAGTGCGTCATCTCTTAAATTTAGAATTGTGTGGGAGGGGATTCATTTGATCCTAATTACACCATAACCCAACAGCATATCTGTTCATTTCAAAGAAAGAGTAACTAGTGGTGAGTGACACAGCCTTCCAGTAACAACAAGGTTGACAATAAATCAGTGCTCTGAAGAAATCTGGAAGGAGTGTTAGGAGACATGATGATGAATCTGCTCAGGGTCAATATTAATGTTTCTTTTTCACCTAAATATGTTATGATTTGGGTCCCACTGTTAAAAAATTATCCAAAAATATTGTTGCTCCATTGATGTCTGCATTATTCATTGCCAGAGATGGGGTCAAGACCCACAGATGGGTTTTAGAAATGCTCTTAAGACTTTATAAGAATCATGATCAATGATAATAAAATAAAAAAAGAAACTTATTTAATTAATATGAATTTATATATTAGAAATATATATTATTAAAAAATCATGTTTTGTAAATTGGTAGATCACAATAATTATAATAATAATAAATATAATAATGAGTCTAAATAAAAAGGTAGAGAAGAGTAGAACAGTTTTTTTTTTTAATTCCAGTTATGGTTTGTTCATAATCAAGTGTCAAAAGTAAAGACACATTTGAAATATGTGGGAAACACGGTCCGAGATGACTTGAGTTGAAAGAATCATCTCTTGTTTATTCCACAGCATACATTAGAACATGGTTTGGAATAAATACAGCACGTAGGGACTCAGTGAAGACTGAAATCATGCTACTTGACTACGTCTCGCTGCTCTGGAGAAAAATTACAAACTGTACAACGTTGAAGTGTAAATCATAGTGAAGACAAACACAGCAGTGCTGCTAATGAAGTGGCTGAGAAGGCCGTGCTGCGGGGCCAACCTTCATCCTGACACTGCGCTGCTAAAGGCAACAGTGGAGCCCAGCAGGGAGAGTGATTTTTACTGTCTCAGATCAAACAGCAGCAAGGGCCTGCACCAACTGCTCTTAGAAAACCCTGCAAGGGGTCTGTTGCACATCTAGAACTTTGAAAAAGTGGGTTCTCCATCATCCACGAGTTCTGGAGGATGTGTTTAAATAGAACAGCAAGAGGAACTACCTGGAATCTGTGCATCTGACCCTAAAGAAATAATTTGCTCTGGCACTAAGAGGGCCCTGTCTTCACACACTGGGCCGACACTAAGATGAATTCAGCAGATTAGCAAATAATAACAGTCTCTGTCACCATGAATGAATCCCGAGGGCCGAGTCAAGACGCAGAGACTAAACCGGCCGGCTCTTCTAAAAACACACGATTCCCCTTCGACACTTGTCTGAGCTCAGACGTATGTGAAATACACCCACGGTGCTTAGATAAACTCTGCGTCTCTACACACAGTGTGTACAGCACGTTTGACTGATGCTGCTTCTTATGTAGAAACGGAGGCAGAATGCAGCACTCATACCTCTTTATTTCTAATTCAGAATGATGATAAATTTTGGGGAAAAAAAATCAAAATTTTATCTTTTCTGCATGTTTCTCATCAAATAAGAGCATTTTGAAAAATTTCTTAACAAAAATTTTTTTTCTGGGTTTTTTGGAAAAATCCTTATTTTGTGTGTCTTGGTCAGATGGTGAAAAATTTTGATGATACATTTTGAAAAAAAAATTCAAAATTTTATCTTTTCTGCATGTTTCTCATCAAATAAGAGAATTTTGTAAAATTTCGTAGAAAAAAAAATTTCGGGAATGTTTTTGAAAAAAATTTGCATGTCCTGATCAGATGGTGAAAAATTTTGATGATACATTTTGGAAAGAAAAAAAATCAAAATTTTATCTTTTCTGCATGTTTCTCATCAAATAAGAGCATTTTGAAAAATTTCTTAGTGGAATTTTTTTTTGGGATTTTTTGGAAAGATCCTAATTTTGCGTGTCCTGGTCAGATGGTGAACAATTTTGATGATACATTTTGGAAAAAA